CAAAAACGCGATTTTCGCACGTTCAAAAACCACGTTTTGAACACACAATTTAAGCTAAAAATCCCGAAACAAAAACAGAAAAATTAGATAGCAAAAACTTAAAGTTTCTAACCAAAAATATTCGACAACAATCCATGTACACAGTGATATGTTTTAACTTCAAAAAAATCACAGAATTACACAATCTACGCAGCGAAGGAATCTACGAACTACTCACACCTAGCTTAAATAAATTAACATAACAACAATAAATTTCAAAGAATACCATGTACACAGCTTTCTGTTTAAACTTTAAAAAAATCTACGAATTGCGCAATCTAGTCATTGCGCACTAACCAACAAAACAAACTAAAATAAATTTCAAACAATTCAAAAAAATAACAACAACGACAGAAATTCAAACTTAAAAAACAATGAACGTAACATTCCATTAAATAAGAACAGGAATAAAACAAAATGCACTAACCATAAATAAATGCTTCTTCCAACAGCAGAAATACTAATTTCAAACATCACCAAAATAATTTCCCCCCCAAATTTGTTAAAAGCATCTTCTCCCGTTTCAGAACAACGATGGAAAAATATATAAACCACCAAATAAAATTCTAAATCGCATTTCCGATTATAAGTCGGTAACGTCGCTTTAACACGCCACCACGTAATTTCTATCGTATTTATATGACAGCCAGATTCACTATCCACAAAATTGATACTATGTTTCACAAATAAATGTTGAAAACTTTCTTCTCCTAAATACTTGTAAAATTTCCGGAAAAATAGTTGTACCAGACACGCGACTGAAATTTTGCCAACACCTCATAATTTATTAGCACACGAACCAACTAGCAAATTCAAATTTCCACGTAAAAAGGGTTGCTATAGAAACCAACATCGCCCCCAAAACCATCGCAGAACAGACCACGCAATCGCGCCAAAAACCAGCGCGCAACACATATCGCATATAAGAGGCATATAAGAGGCAGGGCGCATATAAGAGTAGAGCTAATTATCTTATACATTAATTAAACGTTTTTGAATCATTTCCAGAATTATTATTACATTTGAAATTAAATATAAAACTAGTGGCATTAAGTTTTCGTTATGCATTTTTAGTGAATCTCACACACAGATCGTATTTTTTTCTCGAGTGTCAAGATGTAGAAACCCAAGTCGGCAGACGCAAAAACTGAATAGAAGTATATCTCGCTTCACGAACATAAACTTTAAACCAAACGCATAATTTTGCGGAAGCATTTTTTGAAAAAACTCACTTTTGAACTCACTTTCTGCATTCTTTTGAAAAGCAGGCTGTCGGAATATGGGAGTTCAGTTCCTTAAAAAGTATAAAACTTGCATTATTTGTTCATTCGAGTACTCCAACAGAAATAGAACTCCCAATGATCTAGTAACAATCATGTCTTCTTTAAACAAGCATCACACAATCAAACTAAAATATTTAGCTCATTTACGATGGACATCCCAGGAAACACGAGACCGTTAACGAAGATAAATCCAGTGCCGGGACTCAAAAGCTGTTATACTAAAATACTAGAAGGAAAGCCGCCCTGTCGACGTGCAAATGTATCCAGAATGAAAAATCGAAAATAGAGTTCAGTCTTTGTTTTTTAAAATAGTCACACATAGGCAAAACCTTAAAAGGCCATTTTAAAAGAGCGCATAGGTTTAGGAGCAGCATGCAGTGCGTTTTGAGTGCCAGCGATAAAGATATATGGCATAAAAATCAATTAATCTTAGCAATTAAGTCTCCTTTACATCAGCTGTAACAGAAAGATTTTTTGATTAAAGAAGCCTGTAGACACAAAACTTGTAAACGTATCAGTGTTCTGCCTGCTCTAATGAATTCAAACGAGGAAGATACGTTTATTGATTATCCTTATCTTCACTGTTGCCCTATAGTTTTCCATACTTCCTCTCACTCCACCTCCAACGACTCAATATGAAATGCTATCATCATCACCGTTCCTTACGTATGTTCCAGCATATGTTCTCTGTTCTTAACCGTGGAGAAAGAAATTTGTTACTGATGTGCATTTTCATTTTATATACCCTCGTGGGCAAAATTAAGAGAATTTGCCCATTATATCTAATTTCTAAAGTGATAGACAGATGGGCAGATTTTAGTGAAATTTGGTATGAATACACATTTATGACAGAGAAACGGAACTATCATTCAAAGGTTATTTATGTACGCATGGTTATCAGTAAACCTTATGATGCAAGTATTTCAAAAATTCACGTTGTGATATCGAAATGAAAATGCGTCTAATATTAGGTATGGTCCCCTCTCACAGCCAGACGGGTCGCACACCGTGAAGGTATATTGAGCAGCAGACAGTTAAGAAGTCTTTGTGGCAGCCGATCCCACTCATGCAACAAGATAGTTTTCATTTTCGGAATGATTCTTGGAGGGAAACGGCGAGATGAAATTCACTTCCCCCAGACATGCTGTAGAGAATTAAGTTCAGAAGATCTGGCTGGTCACTTCATGCGGCGAATATCTTCACTTTCTAGGAAATCATGAACCAGCTGATCCCTATGTGGACGAGCGTTGTCGTGCATTAACAGGATCCTAGGACGAACTGCCCCTCTAGAAAGTCAAAAATAGGGCTCTAAGATCTGTGCTTCATAGCATGCAGGGACATGCAAACGTCTAACATAATACCTGCCCAAACCATTACACCTCCACCGCCATAATGATTCTTTCTCCTTATCTTTCTCCTTATAAGGTATTTCTCCCGCTTTCCTAGCGTGACTTCGTGGTGTAGTGGTTCTGCATGCTGGGTCGGTATTCCAGAGGCCCGTGGTTCGATTCCCGACGAAGGCGGTTGCTAATTTTTCATCTCTCCGGCTTTTCCAATTACCTAATGTCTCTACATCCTGATGAGAGAGGGATAGGGATTGCACATTTTTAATTTTAAAAGAATCTGTATAAAGCATATTTTAATGATAACTAATGCTTAGTGTATACATATCAATAATGTTCCGGTTTTCATATGTTAAAAAAAGAATCATTCTCAACAAAAACATGTGTAAAGGATTTTGGTGGTACTGGGAAAAACATGATCTGCTTTGTCTTCTTTAAGGAGGTAAAAAATGTTTTCATGAAAAATCAAATTCTTTGGGAAATTAAAACAGCTTTTTCAAGAAAAAAATTTTCTTTTTGAAAATCAAAACAGTTTTTTCAAAATATGGACGTAAAAATTTATTGGGCTAGGTTCGATGACAGTTAATTTTTAGAGCGATGTGGGCTGGAAAAGATCTTCCTGTTTCTTTTAATGGCGTTCTTCTTTTAATCGTGTTCTAGGCTTTCTCCAGATATAGGTAGGCTGAGAACCAGTGCCCAGGCTGAAACTCTATTCATCTATAAACAGCAAGGTACACCACTGAAGGTCTGGTCGAAGACTCTTGTGTGCTGCAGTGAACGGGACGCGAACAGTGGGTCTTCTGTGATACAGCCCTGTCTCATTAAGTCTGCGGGCAACTGTAGATCGTGAATCTCGGGTTCCAGGGGCACCGTACAGTTCACATGAGAGCTGTGAAGCTGAAGCAGTCTTATATCACCGCGCTGAAATGCCAAATAACGATCCTTATTCGTGTTTATGGATCTCGATCGAGCTTGCCCAGGTCTTCTCGATTCGGATCCAATGTCTTGAAACTTTTTCTAAAAACTGCAGACGACAGTGGGCTGTCTAGCCACCTGCAAATGTAACTGGCATGTTCCTTAGTGACAGTTCTCTATTTCATTGCATAATCCATACGTTCGCGGCTACTCATTTAACTAGATATCTTAAAATTTACAGAACTCTTGCGAGAAACACGACGAATATCTTAAAGGAGTACAAGAACACAAATCGCCGAAACCCTCTCGTGCGCTCATATCCGCTTCACAATTATAGCTCCGCAGATACGCATGTGTACGCTTACTTATTCGACTCTGAACATTTGCACGATTTTTTAGGCGGTATAATTAGTACCGTTGTTTCAATACTTTTCATAAAAAAAAAGACATAATTTGAAAATTCTTTTATTTTGCACACCAGCGTAATTGAAAAAGAGGCGATGAACGCAAATACACTACTTCTATTTTACGCAGCTGTATGCACTTATTACATCTTAATTATTTTTAACATGAGTAAATATTACTAGCTTTTCTTTTTTTTCTATGCATACGGCAAGCGGTTTTCTGGGTTTACGTACTTTCAGAAATTTTTCTGTATAATATATGGGAAACACATCTTTATGAAATACATATGTGAGACAAATATGTTCTGCTTACATACCTGTTTGCTGTAATAATAAAAAATAAAGATCTGCTGTAACATTTGCAGGCATATACTGTTACTCAAATAACCCATAGTATCCCAATTTCCATGCGTCTTTTTTACTAACTTAACAGCAATATATATATATATTTCTTCCACAGCGTAGTTTGTATCATTATTTTTTAAGCCATTTTGACTTGAAAAAAATTAAAAAATTTCCGTGGAAAAGATTTAATCTCGGATAGTGATGGGTGAAAATTTTATCCTCGAACAATAATTTGGCAATGGATATAAATGATGCACAAAAAACGATACATTTTATTATTCAGTTACATAAACTGACATAAAAGAGCCTTTCTGTATCAGTTTATGCAGTGAATAATTAATAGCTTTTTATAGGTTATAGAAACATACACAGAATTATTAATTTTTAATTTCAAGTGATCAATTTCATATTTAAAAGAAATAATTAATGAATTTTATTCATTTTTAAGAACCATTCTTGAATCACATTCAATGCTGCTCTTTGTAACAACTCTTTATGAATGCAGTATTTTAAATTTAGTTTCAAAGTACTTTATTTACCGTTCGAAAGAAAATTTAATTGTGACAATATTTCTCACTATTAATTTATTTCTCCATCCCATTAATAAATGTATTTTATTTAGAAAATCCTTTATATTTTCATTTTTTTTTTTTTTTCTTTTTCTTTTTCAGTTTCTTGCGAGCAAAAAAAGCTACCATGTTGGACACGGAACCGTTGTGACGCATGCCCTAGAAGTACGATATATAATCCATATTAAAGCACATTTTTAATTTTAAAAGGATCTGTATAAAGCATATTTTAATGATAACTAATGCTTAGTGTATACATATCAATAAATGTTCCGGTTTTCCCATGTTAAAAAAAGAATCAAGTTCAACAAAAGCATGCGTAAAGGATTTTGGTGGTACTGGGAAAAACATGATCTGCTTTGTCTATTTTAAGGAGGTAAAAAATGTTTTCATGAAAAATCAAATTCCTTGGGAAATTAAAACAGACCAAAAAAAAATTTTTTTTTTTTTTTGAAAAGCAAAACAGTTTTTCAAAATATGGGCGTAAAAATTTATTGGACTAGGTTCGATGACAGTTAATTTTTAGAGTGATGTGGGCTGGAAAATGATGTGGGTTGGTGTGTTCTTGCTTCTTTTAATTAGCTGGTATGAATTAAAAAATACAAGGTGAGCGTATAAAGTAACCAGAAAATTTATTATAAATAAGAAAAAGATCACTGACCAGAAATAAATATATCATTTTCAAAATAATCGCAAGAGAAGTCTATAAAATTTTTCCAATATTTTTTCAAGTCATAGAAACTTTTGGATCCACTGTTTAACGATAGAAGAGTTCCTTCCTAACTCGCCTCATCCTGTTTCTTAATCGAAAAAGCATTTCCTCGTAAAAATGCTGATTAATTGATTGATCTTCAAGGACAAATTCATGGTGAATAAGTTCTTTGTAAGCTCCTTAAAAAGTGCAATCAGCATCACCACCAGCGCCTCTACCTATAGCTTTTATCGCCTTTTCGCCCACATTTGAAGCAGTTGGTACCACTCATATATTTATGTTCTTGATAACGATGCATCACTGTATACTGTTCAACCATCCCTAAAGCTTCGGGAGAAGATTTACCTAATTTGGAACAAAATTTAATGTTATAACGTTGTTCCATCCTGAAGCAAATTTTTTTTGTAAGATATCTTCTTAGTAAATGAAATTACACCGTTGTTTCGATATGCAAACAACAAAATAACCGATTTAAACTGTCTTTACCAACAGTTGAGATGTTTTTTTTAAACATGCATTTCTTTCAGTTTTTTATTTTAACTTTGGTCTTTTAATTTGCTCGTTTACTTTATAGGCCTATCTTGTACGTTTTCTATTAATGGAATCATAAGCTTCCTATCCCAAACCAGATAAAAAATAATTGAGGGTAATAACATGTTAGTGGTATAGCTAGACGGAGCAACATTTTGCTTGGAAGGCATTTTTTTTTTCAAGTAAGACTGTTATATTTTTGGCCAGTTCCATTTTTTATGTTAACTTAAGGCCAGTTTACACCTATCCGAGTGACCCGCAGCGAACACCTCGCTATGACTACTTTGACAATGTAAACGCTCACTTCTTTCATATAGAAACGTAGGGAAAATGAGTCAACGAGTCCGTTTCTACTTTGATCCATTGAAAATCTCTCTGCGCAGTAACTCCGAGAAGTGTTCGCAGAGACGTTGTGCCCAATTTTTCCGTCACATCGAAAATGCCGAGAAGGAGCGATAATCTAACTATCTGGCATTTTTAATGCATATGCATATTGTGAAGTATTATGGAATACTTCACTACCTGAATATTACGACCATTGTTTACAAATACCTAAATATAACGTGGATATAACTACAGATCAAAATGAATTTAGGTTTTAGATATTGTAGAAAAGACATAGAAGAAAATTAAATTAGGGTATCGAATTCAAAATATTTATTTTAAACATATTTATGTCTGAATTTTCTTTAATTAAAAACAATTAAGAAATATGTTATTCAGCTACCCAATAAAACAATTCAACTACCCAATAAAATACAGTTTTCAATATAAAAAATAAGTGAAAAAGCAAATATTTATTTTATTTTGTTGATAAAATTTCGAAAAACCAGTTTCTGCTCATGGCTAATTACATCCAATCAAATATAATCTAAAATTTTTAAATATTGTTTTATAGACTTTTCTTTTTATTTGAACCACAAATTAGATTTTATTTACAAACGCTCAGTTGGAAGTATTAAAATAAAAATCGCCGACAGAAGGCGTATGTGGCTAATTTTATTAACAGGTAAAAATTCGAGAGCGTTGGAGAATTCAAGCAAATGATTAATAATTTTTGCTCAATCTCATTAACAGAAAATGGCCTCAAACACTTCATTTTGGCACTCGAAATAAATATTGCAGGAAACTGTAGGAGTCACCCGTCCCCTGAAACCGAAGTGCTATCTGCGTTTTAGTTTTGCTGGCAGAACATCTCGAAAGAACTTTTTTTTGAATAAGTGGAGTGACCATTTCTAATAAAGTTTCAAATTATCCTTCACCCATTCTGATGAAGTTTTTGTAACTTTGGATATCCTCGCCAGGAAGTTCATTTAAAAGTTGATTTAATGCTTCCAATTCATAACGGCAAGCTACACAGTCACGTTTTCATTTCCTTTTCTTCTTCTTCTTCCCCCCCCAGAACAGAAATTAGTTCGTTGGAAACTGCTTCGCAAAATTCAAGCTCAGCAACCTGCACGTCGATATCCATTTTGCAAACAAACGGCAGCGAGTTGTCAGTCCGCTCTGATTGGTGTAAACAATCTATCAGAGTACAGGTCCGTTCACTCGGTTCGAGAAGCTCGGATGAGGAGCTCACTCGGAGAAGTGTAAACCGGGCTTTAGTTATTTTCAGTGACAAAACCATGGCCGGTACCAAAGTTTTTAGAATTTAAGGTTGCACTAGGCGCGAAAATGCAGGAATCGCAGAAATTCTACCTAATGGCTGAAATCTTAGTTAACGTGTGACCTTATTAATAACTAGTTTTTAACAACTATATTTATAAAAAAAGGAATAAATATCGTATTCTAAAGAATTGTTACTTTTCTTATCATACCACAATTCAAATTTCTGAAACTTAGAGATACGAAAGGCATGGCAAAGCGACTTTTTTTTTCACCACCCATATCGCGACTGCTTCATCTCAATAACGGTCTCGCACAGCTTGTTTCTTCTCATCTAAAAGTGTAATCCACCAACGGCCGAGCGGTAAAGTTGCTATACACTAGTATTTCAACTATCGATCCCAGGCTGGCTGAATGCGTGTTTTGGGGATTTTCCATAACGTGGGTACCAGGCAGCCCCCTTAGAAGCCCTCCGAGAAGGCATGCCTACCCCAGGCAAATAATAATCTTTGCCATAACAAAATAAAACAAACTATTATTATAATCGCTAAAAGGTATTTATTGCAGGTTTATATATGTTTAGGCTAGACCAGAAGTGTCCAAAATGCCACTTCTTTGAACTTTTACCATTTATTTTGAAATAGAATTACGAGTACTGTATTCCAAATATTATAATAATTTAATTGTTGTTCGCTATTGTTGTAAGTGTTATTAGTTACGATACGAACTTAAATAAAGACTGGTTAAGAATGAATTAAGATCTACAAATTAGTGTCTTATGTTTAAGAAATCTTACTACACTGTCCACAAAATAGTAACTGACTATTTAAACAGATTTCGAATTTGTCATTAACGAACCTTTATACAAAAACAGGAAAACTAGCATTTTAGAATGTTCAAATTAAAAACATATTTTAAAAATACATGCGATGTTTCAATATATTGTTTCGTTTTGATAACTTGTAGCGTTTTTAGTATGCACTGGGGGGAAGGCAAACTCAAGGATACCGCCGGAAGGGAAAATTTCTGGCTATGGCATACATGCCTAATTTCATTAAGATAGGAATATAGAACATGCCCAGATGTATTAATATGCCTAGATGTCAATAGTGTTTTTTAAAGAGAAAAATGAGCAGTAGCCTCGCCAGAACTCGATCCTGGACCTCTCGAATATACGCCGAGTGTGCTACCGTTGCACCACGAAGGTATGCTGAAAGGAGGAAGAAAATACCTTATATGCTCCCCGTTTAAAGGGCGACTGGGATTAGGAGACCAATTGCCAAACCCCATTTAAAGGGCGACTGAGATTAGGAGACCAATTGCCAAATCCTGGTGGTACCGAATTCTTGTCCACCACTTTTTAGTTCGGGCGCCACTGTAGAGTCTTTTTTTTTTTTTTTTTTTTAATACGGGAGACGTGAAAAATGAGCAATGCCCTAACCAGACTCGAACCTGGACCTCTCGAATACGAAGAGTCGAATGTGCTATCATTATACCACAAAGGCATCCTAGAACGAGGGAGAAAATACCTTATAATTTCAATATTTCTGAGCACTGAGGTTTCTTGTCATCATAAAAGTCTAATATCCAAGAAAGGAAACCACAACAAACATGAAACCTCCATCGTAAAGGTCCCAATAGGTATTCCTGAGATGCTAAGGAATAATTAGTTATTTCAGCATCAAGCAAAGCCTAAATTCGCATTGTACTCAATATTCAGATTCATTAAAGAACCGCATAGATCAGCTGTTCCTACCAAGGGACCGCGAATACATTTCAGCAACGTATGTGTTGCAAAGATTTCAAGATTAAAGTTATTTGAAGTCGTTGAGTTTACGTCATTGACATTGCCATTAAAAGCGAACACGAATAATGCACCAGAAAATCAATAGAGCTTATTTATTTACAATGTTATATACATCTTAATCAAAGATTTCAAGATACCAATTTTATTAACACTTGTCAAAAAATAAATAAGCTCAGTAACGAATTTTTGCAGTAAGAGCTATCCCTTTCTTTGGGAATACATTTATAGGTGAACAGCAGTTTTACACATTTGAAAGTTAATACGAAAATAATAGGCTTGACCGATGAAGAAAGAAAATAGAAAATAATAGAAAACAGAAGTTTTTACAAATATAATAGAAATTTTTGGAAATAAAATTAGAAACTTTTGGAAATTATATTTTAGAGTTTTCGTGGACAAAAAAATTCGCTCCACACATACAGACAGACATCATTGGAAAAATGGTAAAAACGTGTTGTGGGGAACTTAATTTGTGTTTATTTACTAAAAACTCACTATCGAATTTTTGAAACGAAAACATTACCCCTCTTACTTATGTGTATAGGTTACCGGGAGGTAATAAAAGTAGAGAGTATGGTTTTCTTCCTTTAGCAGAACTGTGAAGTCATACCCGTTTTTGGGCTCCAAGTCAAGTAGTGCAAACAAGATTTTATGGGGTTCAAGGAAAGTACCCTTTCCGATTGTTCAATTTTACCCCAAATTTAATCAGTTCTTTAGAAGTTTAATCTTTCCTTATTTCTCATTGCTGTATAAATCTCTCGTGACCTACCAAATTTTACTTAAATTTAACAATTATTTACTTCTTTTTACCTTAAATCTGGATACCAGTATACATGTAGATATGTTATTCTATATCCAGTCAAATTTAATTAATTTTTTAAATTAGCTACCTTTCAAAATCAGTTACGTACACATTCAAAAGTAACTGCGGCTAGTTTAAAGTACTCAGATCATGGAATCTTCTACTTCAAATAAATTCTAAAATATGATTAAAACGACACTTCCTAACACAACCACCTATGATTCCCGATGATTTTTAGTCTTTTGTAGAGATGAACTCACACAACATAATTATTAAGGTTTTTCTGTATAGTTATTTTATTATATTGTCAAATGTATTGTCAGAGGTGGTCGTCTTAGGAAGGGGTCATCATGAAAGGTTTGATTGTATTTTTGACAATGATTGAACATTTTCTTTTTGCAGAAACACGAATTGGCAGGATGCCAATATGCTGCAACAACTGTGCCGTAGGAAGACTCATTGTTCGGGTTACTAAGAGTAAAGCTTATTGTTGGTGTCTTATAGATTAATGAGGAAAAGTTAATAATTAATGAAGTCTTCAGAATATGTTAAAAATTGAATTTCCTTCTGTACACCTTAGAAATCTTATTAATAAATTGCTAGAAAGCAACAGTAGTAAATTTTTAGACATATTCTGATCAAATTCCATCAATGATGTGAACATATAAATTCATATAATTCAAAAGAATCTTTTTCTCCAGTTCTCCAAAATTTTACAGCATGACTCAAGATGCCGATAGCTGGATATACACTGGCAACTGATGGGTATAATCATATCCCATTAATTACAAAAAAAAAAAAAAAAAAAAAAAAAAATTATAACATTGATAATTCATTGTTTAGTAATTTTAAACTATATCATACAAAGGTAAGTCTTATTCAAAACACATGGGTAGGCTAAGATTTGAAATTTAAAAAGTCATCCAAAAGAAATTTCTCCAAATAAAAATTATTACCGAACCAGCATTATTGACTTTACTCCTTCTTACCTAGTGGAAACAGGATTTAGTCAAATCAATAATTTACTATGGAAAATAAGAAACAGCTTAAATTTGTTGAACGAGGTGATTTAAGAATCAACTGCAATTGTGTGCTAAAACAAAACAATAAATCAAGCATAAAAACAAGACATCAATACATCAAGCACCACCAGCACATAGCTCAAACTTTTGTGCAATTAGAATCTGTAATCTTGCTTTAAAAGCTTGTTTATATATGTAAAACTAAAAGTAATAATACAAAATAATAAAAATACACTCTTTTTAAAAAAAGGGGGGGAAAGGAGCAGCCTTAAAAAATAATTGGGCTATCTCAAAATTTTGTATACAAATGATTAAATTTTCAGGAACAATGAGTGTTAACTTCAGTCATTAACTTCAGCATTTCCACTGCGCAGCTAACATGATATAAAATAGGGAACAATTGCAAACAGTTTATCTTGTCTCGTTGTCGGCGTTGCAGTTTTCTGAAGACAGAACCAATAAAGCTGTTACGACTTTGCAAAATACTTTACAGGCAACTGAACGACTTCGAATGTAGTCGTGTAGTACAGATGCGTGAAACGGACTGGTGATATCAAGCAATATGCTGCTACCTGCCAGTATGCACACGGCTCTGCAAAGTTTGCAGCAAGATACTCATGGGTGAAATCAAGGCTGCGGAAGATGAGGATGAACAAATGCGAGGCAAAATCGGATGTTTGTGCGAAAGGCCCGAACAACCCGAATGGCATTATTATCGCCTACGTGCTACAACCTCTTCCATACCACCCGCGGCAGAGGCACAATAGCCTAGAGGTAACATCCTACTCTACGAACTTGAAGATCAATGTTTTGGAACCCAACTGTGTGACTTAGACTTTGCCCCTGACCCCCGGGGTCAACGCAGAGAACTCTGTGGAGCTACTGGCTAGGATCTGTACCAAGTTAGTCTGGCCATGTGGGTATAAAATCATTGACCTTGACGGCTCTCCGTGACCTGTGGGCGTTCGCAAGTAAAATAGTCCTCGTTTATTCGAGTGGCCCACAGGGAAAGCTGAAGTAAGCCCCGTTTATATACCATATACATGCATTGTTTTCGATATGACAATCGCATTAACAAACTAATATTTAAAACTGTTACATGTCATTTAGATAAATTGTTCACACAGTTAGTAATTAGATAAATCAAATCAGTTATTTTCATGTAAAAACAAGTTTTATATTTTTTCACTATACAAAGAAAATGCCTTATCCTTTCAAAATAGGAATACACATGTTACATCTAGTACCACATATCAAAGTTTCCCCTCCCCCAGTCGAACTGATTGCCAAACAATGTACACTGCAGGGGGAAAAAAAAATGGACGGTTCTGTATCTGCCGTTCTAACTGGGTTGACTGATGAAATTCAAATTTTGTTTTCCATGTCTCGTAAGCGCGAGTTAAGATATATATTAAATTCATATACAGCTTTGTTCTAACATAGATATTTTGACACAAACCATACTTTTTTTTAAATGACATACCATTTTTTTTCCATATTTCGAGTCTACAACACAAATTATGCCTAGATATTAAATTTTGTAATTTTTTAAGAGAAATTTAAAAGTTTATCTCGGCGAATCTTTTTCAGTTTGTGCCAAGAATAATACGTATATCTTACGAAATTTTGAATAAAAAAATCTTATTTTTTTTGCTTAGAAATACATCTACTTTAAGATGATGGCAAAACTTTTATAGGTTAAAATTCAAATTTTTTAATAAAAATTATTAAAAAATACAAATTAAAAAAGTAGATCATAAAAAAATGGCTGAATTTTATTTGGAATAAACTCAAATTTTGAAATATGAAAGGAAGAAGCAAATAAGTTTAATGAAAAAAAGAGATATTAATAAGTATACATCAAATTCCATTAACACTGAGGAGCTCAAATTGTTTTTGAGAGTTAATTTTTTAAAAACAACTCGTGCGATTTTTACAAAACTTAGCAGTTTGGCACAACTTGAGTTGTAGAATCGAAATATGGAAAAAAATTGACACGGCATTTCAGAAAATGTTCGATTTTGTGTCAAAATACCTATATTAGAACAATGCTATATATAAATCTAATACATATCCTAAGTCGTGCTTTCGAGACATGAAAAATGCAGATTGATGTTTCTCAATTGGCCCAGTAGAATGGAAGATATAGAACTGTTTTTTTTCACAGTGTACATAACTGCCATACAGTGTACCAACTGTCATGCACCGTTTTCATATACTTTTCTTAGTTTACATAGCATATGAGTGCAAGAGTAAATATTTCTTTTTAATAAAAAAATTTCTTTTAATACTAGAAATATACAAATTTATTTCAGCTTGACAGATATTGTTTTGCAATCTCAAAACCAGATTGCATGGGATATTTTTGATATTTTTTTAATTGACATATGCGAGTCTCACATTGTGTAGAACAAAAATTTGAGTTCATGTACTGTGTGAAGGGAACAGAAATTAATTTTTTTGGTATTTATTTTTGCAATGAAACTTAATATTCCCATTTCATGAAAATCATTAGTTTATTCTTTACTTTTACCATAGTAACCTCTTGAAAGAGCAGAATGAATAAAAAATAAAAACACTCTTTAAGCCCCCTCCTCTTTCAAGGAAAACAAGTTCACCTAGACATGCAAGATTCTACATGGCCATTTATAGCAACTGATGGCATCAGATATGAGTTTTTATATTCATTACTGAAATGTATTTGATTTGTTCAAGATCTCTGATTAGAATGAATAAAATTTAAGAGACTGAATCATTTAGAGATGTCAGAATTAGAAGAGGTTTGTTTAGCTAAATACGGCAAAATACATGGAGGCTATCTGCCTAAGGAAAGAGATATCTTTGTGGAGGATTTTCTACAGAAAACTGTCTTATATTTAGGTTATATATGAAGAAATCAATTAAAAGCCTTCATGCAGCAACCCATTCGCTGGGATCCAAACCTGTGCTAAACTATCAATGTTCAGGAATTTACAATCAGCCACTTTTAAGCACAGACTATCCAAGAAAGACTGCCCTTGGTGCATTTTGATCACTGATAAATCACTTAATTAGCTAATCATCAGAAATCCAATGAAGGCGATTGCAAAGGAAACAGAAGCCTATATAAGGAAACTTTTACGTAAGGAAAGGAGATAGATTAAGAAAAACATTTTAACTAAATCACATTTACTTTATACACAAGGAGACACATCCTATTCAATCAGGCCCACCAGCGGCTGAGCGGTTAAGTCGCTGAACACTGGTAGTTCGGTCCGAGGTTTGAATCCCGCGAACGGGCTGGCTGCATGAGCGTTTTCGTGGTTTTCCCCATGTGTAACATATATACGAGCCAGTTTCCCTTAGAAAGTCCTACACAAAGGCATCCCTCCCCTTAGGCAAATAGCCCTCGAGGCTTTGTCGTATTTAAATAACCTAACCTATTGAATCAGCTCAATTTTGTCATCAGAAACTATACCTGAGATGAAACAGTAGTTTTCCACAGGTTCAGCCAAGAAAAATTACGAAAGCATTTTACAGACTGGTAAAGAATTTTAAAAAATTTAGGGCTGCAATAACAGAATGCATTTTAAACTATTCATATTTAAAAAAATTCTGTTTCTTTGAAATGCTTCAAAAATCTGTAGTTTATGCCCCATAGCAAAAGGCACCTGCTTCATTGATACAAACAAGAAATCATTTACTTTGTCTAGTAAAAAATTCTGAGTTTTGTCTTTTCAGCAACAGAGACATAACGCATGACAGAATATCATTAAGAATGCATAATTAGTTAATTAAACAGAAACCAAAAATACTTTAAAGGTTAAAATTAAAAGTTATTTCTAATCTCTGAATTCATAGCACTCTGTTAACTGAAGGAATTGTTTCCGTTCTTTTCGTTTCGATACTTTTAAGAGGATTTTTTTCTTTAAATTAGCTTTTAGAATGCTAATATTCTGGTCAAGATTTTGCAGAATATATCAATTATTTAAATAATTTATAAAACTCTATGATCATTTAATAACATACATAAAATTTCTGATTTAAAATTACAGAAGACTTCAATTCATTACAATAACTTTTTTTAACTTCATATATAATTAATTTTGGGTATACTGAATGCACTTGATTAAGACTTTATAGATTTATAGCCAAAGCATGCTTGTGAACATAAAATGAAGTTGAAATTAAATTATATTAATTTATCACAGCTAATCTTTAAAATTTTAAATTGCACTTATTTAAAATGGAAAATTATTATTACATGCTAAGTAAAATGTTTTACAACAAATTTCATGTGCAAATTGCATGATACAATCAAAATCAAGAGAGAGGATTGAAATTAAGTATTGCAATGAAATGTACTTATATATTTAGTATATTTAAAATAATGTCATGAATAAATTTTTTACATGAATTCTGTAAATATATGTGCCATAAACACCATATGAACACTTTTTTTTATTTCCATAAAAACTGTTCTAAAAATAGCTTTATTAAAAAAGATTTTAAGAAAATACACTTCCTTCTAAATTTCTGTTAGAAGTCACTTATATTACATTTATTTATTTATTGTGAAACTGCATACACAGATGGAAATGGCAGTGTTTCAGAAGGCTGTAACCTGCAAAGAAAAAAGATGTAAAACAGTTTTGAATTAAAACAGCTGTCTGCAGTTTAAAGAATATTACAACACACAAAAGTTTCATATTAGCCAAAAAATTTATACAGTGAAAAGAATATAAATCTCTCACAGTGTATGCAAACTTATAAAAAGGGGGAAGGGATGATGGCAGTTAAATATTTCAGTGCTTAAATTTGAAATTTATATTTTACTAAAAATATTTTTTACACACAAATACTAAATATTTTTAATTTAAGAAAAGGAAACGGTACACAGGAAATAAAGATTGAAAGTATGTAGAATAAAAGTACCATACTGCTCCAAACATAAGGAGAAATGCAGACTACATCCATCTTATATTCGACTTACATTTTAAAAAACATATCAAGATACTTTACACCCTATCTCTTAATTTTCATATTTGAAGAAAATATATTGGTATGAATTTTATATTTAGTTAGCTATTTTTATTAGAATTATAATTAAAATTGTCTTATTTTCTCTTGCAATGCAGCATGAGACATTTCAAGCTACGCCGAAAAATTAAAAATATAAGAGGACGTGCATTTAACATTGAATAAATCCATATATCTTTTATTTGTATTTAATTTGAATAAATGTAATTGACTAGTATATGATCTGTAATCGTAATTCATAACTACTGATTATATTGCCTGATATTGGGATACTGTACGAATATCTCTGAGGAAAATTCCAGTGTTTTGTTATATTTCATGCGATAAGAATAAATTTTACTAACCTTTTATCGGACTTGCGCAATCTATTACAAACACGTACGCACGCAATATTTATATACGTCATTTCAAAATATAATACTTAAAGAATAAAGAATAAATACTGAAAAAATAAATTCTCAGGATGACCAGCTATAAGAGCCTTACAATGCCCATGACTAACTATGAGCAATTTTCGATACCATTACTAATATTGTTAAATATGTATTTAAAAACATAGGTCACTTTCAAAAATAGCCATTGTAAGAGGTTTTTATTGTATCTATCTCATAAAATGCCTTTAATATATTTTGAAGGCATTTAGGATACTGCTAATTAAGACATTAAACGGTTACATAAAAAGAAAATATGGAGACAGTTTCAGAATCAAGATTACAAAAATAATACAAATTTAAACAGGCTAATAACAAATATTAATATAAATAATTTACCAGTTTTCTTTGCTATAATCTGTGTTATGCGTTTCCACAATGTGAAAAGTATATACAGGTCTTGAACAATTTGAAGTATTTCTTCCACTTTTATGAATAACTGATCCATGGATTACTACACAGTCACCTAAAAAGTAACTTCTGATTACACTAAGCCTTTAGTATGCAAATTAAACTAACAAAACAATTTTAATTTCCTCTTTGTTTTAAATACAATTAAAATGCATTTACACAGTTGTTAACTATACATAGATATACTAGAGATAGAGAGACAGAAATACAGAATATAAATTTAAAATTCACTTTTAAATACTATATATTTTCAGAGATTTACTCTTCTAAATTCAAAAGGTAACATCTATATATCCTCTAGAACAGTGGTTCTCTTGAGGAAAATGGGAGGAAGAAAATTATCACACTTCTTTCCTTTGCATTTCAAAGAAAGAGGAATTTTACAGATTTCAGAAAATATTGGGAAAAAAAAAAAAAAAATCATTTTAGAGCATAATTTTAAGGATGCTTGTTTGAAGTACCAAAATCCCTTCCACCATTTCCAAGTTAACTCTGTCTCAAGAAATACTCCCCTCAAAGACAAACAGTACTGAACATCTTGTGTTTTATTAAGCATTGCATATTTATGTACTTTAAGATCACTGTTGTCAATTGCACATATTGAAAATATAATTGAGTTTATATAGATACTGTTTTTCATTTCTGTTTTTTTAATGTATAAAAGATAAAGCATGGAAATTCTCTTCCTAGTTTCCCAAAAAGAAACATTCTCATATTAATATGATTATTAGAATAAAGCTCGGTTTAAAAGAAAGATAGGAATCTGGAAATTAAGCAGCAGCAGCTGCTGAAGATAATAATTCGAAAGTGTTTTCTAAATCTATGGAAGTTAATCTTCTTATACTAATGCTATTCATTACCAGAAATATTAGCATTGTATAGGAAAGCATGCTCCTGAATACTTCTCTTTTAAGATTTTTTTATGCCAGATATGAATCAGAAGCTACAACTATTTATCCACAATTTATCCTGCAGTTTATTCTAACAATTAACATAAAAAAGATTCCTTTTTGTGCAAGATTTTAATAACCAGAGCAGAATGTTATAGTTTAAACTATAACAATATAAACTATAACAAGGAATATTTAGTGTTATAGTTTAAACTATAACACTAAATATTCCTTGCTGTCGACCATGTGTGTTAAATAAGATTAGACATGTGTATTAGTTCACTTGTCCCAACAGAACCTTCATCATCTCAAGGCGAGATTGACAATCGAAAACTTCTTCAGCATATCCTGCGAGCAGCTTGGACCCCTGTGTCATTGCTATGCCCTGCAGAGATGTAATAAAGAGTTAAACACAGGGCTCTTTTTCATCTGTGTTTCATGCAGTAAAGCCTTACGATGCCCATGAAACACAATATATTTGACAAGAAATATCTATATTTTATGAAAATATTACTTTAGCATTAGTTAACCTTTTAATGGTCACAAACGAGCTCAGCTTGCACACAGTTAAGCATTGCAGTAGACGCAAATGAAAACAGCTCATATTACAAATTTATGATTGACAAATATTGCACATATTTGGGAAGAAAAAATTGCTTAATCTCATAACCACTGAAGGGTTAATTAAGTTAATTTTGTAAAATCTAAGCAAATGATTCCAAATTATTTCCATTTTTATGTGAAGGAATAAGAAGAAAAAATAAAAATGTTTTGCACATTGAATTAAGGCAGCTTTCTTTTCTGACAGAAAGTGTGAATTTAGTGATTGATTTTATCAAAGATGCACAGAAGCTTTAGTATGCAAATTAAACTAACAATAATGATTATCTTCCAAAGACTAAAAGAACTGAAGAAAGACCTTCAAGTTAAACATCTAGAACTTCTCATGATTCATGACCAGATGGAAAGCTTTAAAAGAGTCTCTGAATTCAAAGAGAAACAGTCAATAGTCATGCTTCCCTGTCTCAGAAAATTTGTTATGATTGACATAAAAGAACATTGAATTGTACTGAATTGAATTTGTGAAATATTTTTCGGCACTATTCTGTTATCGGGACCGAATCCAGAAATGTATGTATGTATGCACATATATATGTATACACACACATACATTCGTACGTACATATATATATGTATAGATGAACACATATATGCATACTTACATTTCTGATAACAGATCAGTACCTATTTTTCCTCAGAAATTCTTGATATGAGAACTTTCATCTTACAATGGAAGTTTTCTGTCTACCAGATATTTTTTAATGAGAGAGAAAAAAATAATTGATATGTAATGGAATTCCTCCAAATTCCATTTTCAAAAAATTATTTCTGACAGGTTTGTCATTGAAGAGTATGAAACAATATCCTCAAATAACTGACAGTATCATTAAATTTATACTGCATTTCTCAGTCACATATTCATGTTTCCTCCAAATTCCATTTTCAAAAAATTATTTCTGACAGGTTTGTCATTGAAGAGTATGAAACAATTTCCTCAAATTACTGACAGTATCATTAAATTTATACTACATTTCTCAGTCACATATTCATGTGAAAATGGTGCCCCCCATAGTCTAATAAAAATAACAAGTCCTACTGGCTTATTGTTTTTATTATACCATGGGACTTTTTTATAGATTAGTCTAAATTTGAAGCTATGCCAAAAATTTCAGACAGATGATTTGTAATTAAGAAGTTGAAAAAGGCGGGCACATTTTGATCATTGAGAAATACTAAAGCTTTATAGCCTCTCAGTTATAAAATTAAGATTAAACAATTGATTAGGGGAGAAAAAGTTCCCTTTATCTTTTTTAAAAAATTTCACAAAATGAATAATTTTCTATGGGAATAAAATAATATTTTCAGTTTTTCTTTAAACTGACCTGACTGGTTCTCAGTAAGAGATTATATTCTTCTTCTTTTACTGGCACATTAACCCAGGATTAAACTTTAAGATAAGGCCATGAAATTAGGATTCTTAACTTTGTTACATCTGAGACATTTTAGTATGCTTGTCCACTAAGGAAAGTAATAATTCAACAGGTTCGTTTAAAATTTTTAAACCTTTCATTTGAGGAGATTTTACCTCATGGTTACATCGGATATCTTTAATTGAGGTATAAAGATAGAAAAGTTTGAGCATCTATGCTCATGATACATGATGTATCACAATTTCTAACTAGTTGTTGACTTGTTCTTATTGTAGTAACAACTCTGTATCAGACAAGCTACTACTCAACTCATGTTTTTTACTCTCTCTAGTTTTTTTTTAAGCCGACTGTAGCATGCGCTAAATAAAACGGTTGCGTTGCTTGATCTTAATATGCTTCCTGGTTTATTTGTACTTAATTAATTGCTTTTTGTTTTTAGCCTAGATAGTATTTTACGATAACTTAAACAGTTCTGTGTACAGCAGTTGAATGCAAAGTAGATGTTACATATACTCCAGAAGTAAATAATAAATGTAAAGGTTTGAAGTCTTATTCAACTATTTTCTAATGATACCTTTATAACGCAACAAATTTCCTGTAGCACTGGATCTGTCTGTAGAAAATAACTAAATTACACTGAAAATGAATGGAAAGCAAATTGAACACCTTCCATTTTCTGATTTTAAATTGAGATCTTAAATTTTAGCTTGTATTATTATTAATTCAGTTTTTACCTTTTACTTACACTACATAACTATTAATTTATTTACAACTAAAGTTACCTTTTTCAACAAGTACAGGAACATATAAGTTCTCATCAAAATGAGGAAATTCGCCTTTAAGAATCAGAAGAGGGTTTTTGGTAGGATTCCTGACATATCTTTGATATACTGCACCTTTTAAAAATGAATAACACAAGGGCGTAAACAGAATGATAAATCGACATGAACAATGAAACAATGAAATAAATTACACTGTTCATTAGTTCAGAACTATAAAAATATATTGAATCATCATTTCTGATAAGAAAAATTATGACTGAAATTCTTAAAAAGTATTGTAGTCTAGTTAAATTTACAAACTTTTTTCCATGACAAAAGTTACAAAAGAGGTAAAATGTATTCAGACCTAACACACTATTCAAGTTTAAAACACAATTCTGTGGCATTTTAGTTACAGAATGAAATGCTTATAAAATCTAACTGCGTATCTTGTTCCTTGAATTTATATATTGTAAGAAATCAAAACACACTACTCTTCCAAAGATACATATTTAAAAAATATTTTCAGGCTAATTTTAAAACAATGGTTTAAAATATTAAAACTTATATTTAATTGAGAAATAAAGATGTCACAAACTGTGGAATCATAATGAAAAATACACCTTATACCATAAAAAGCGATGCACGAAACAGGAGTTAACTAAATGGGACAAAATTGCATATGCCCATAACTTATTATACCAAATGATTTATTTGCAATTTAAATGATTAGTACAAATGAATAATTTTTGGTGGCCAGTGAATGATTAGTTAGAGCTTCAGCACATTGCAGTGGACTATCCGAATGGTGTATAAAACAAAGAACATTTCAATGTTAAGGTATATCTTTCAAGCGAATGTTGTTCTGTCATCGACACGCATGGACTGCACCAATGCCTCACAGATGTGTTCGCAAACAGTATGAGCAGATGTCACCATTTGAAAGATGTACAACTGGACAAAAGGAAGCAGGGTGGTCAAATGTCAAATACAGGATCAGTAGACATTCGAGTCACAGTGATGCTACCATCTGGCAACGTTGACATGAATGAGTGAATCATGGCAATACAGAGTGTCAAGAAGATGGCATTAGACAAGGAGCAACAACAGAACACAAGGACAGAGTGATCATCCACTCAGCACTCACAACCTGATGCATTCTTATCAACAATCGAACATGTAATTGAGACACCAATGACTGCAATAACCATTGATAGGTGTCTCGGCAAACGGGAACTGAGGTCACAGAAGCCACTGCACCTGCTGCCCCTCCCTGCTGCACGCTGCCAGGCATATCTGCAGTAGTGCTGAGCAACATTGACCTGGAATCTCTTGGGTTGGAAAAGAATTGTTTTCATCCATGAGTCTCACTTTTAATGATGCCCAATGGCCAACAAAAACATGCCTGGAGACGTACAGGACAGCAATGGGATATTCACCTGACTGTCGTCCATCACACAGCCTGACAGTAAAGAGTTATGGTATAAGGTGCCATTTCACTTGATAGTCGGATTCCTTTGGTTACCACCCATGATACCATTACAGCACAACATTATGTTGACAAGATTCTATGCCCCATACTATAGACCTTCCTTTCATTGACCCATTAGCTTATATTTCAGCATGATAATGCCATACATACACACTTTTCGACTACCTATCTTTGGTTTTCTCCAACACTTCCCTGACCAGCGTAATTGCCAGATTTCTCCCCAACAGAATACATTTGGGCTCTTATCAGCAGATGTCTCCAACCATCCTTGGATCTTCCCAGTTCGAATACTCACCAGGATGACATCTGCCAATTCTACAAGTCGATGCCCATCCTGGTAACAGCTTACATAAAGATCAGAGGTAGGCCAATGCATTAGTGGTTTTTGTTTATTTTTTATCCCTGTAGCAGTATTTCCTAAATAAAATATTCAATTCCCATGATATTGTTATAATTTTGTTTTCAATATATATACATCCGATTCGGTTAAATTTTCTTGCAAAATTTGGTCATTGTATATGGGATCCTATTTAATTGCAGATTTTTATATACAAATTTGGGATCCTGCAGCAGCCGAAGTAAAAAACTGCTGAACACTGGAATTTTACCCAGATTCCAGTCCTAATAAATAAGCTATTTGTATGGAAGTTTATATGTTTCTCTCACCTATATTAAAAATTCAAGTCAGTTTCCCTTAAAAAAATCCTCCATGAAGGTATCCCTTCCCCTAAGCAGGTGCATGCTTTGCCCCAGACTAAAATAATAACGGAAATTTGAATACATGAAGTTTTGTAAGTAAAAGAACAATTCCATTGGTTTATATGTAATGAATACACTTACTCATGAATAAGACCAACATTTCAACAAACAAACAAGAAAATCTTTTAATGTTGATATAATTTATCAAACCTTTAATTTTAAAACAATGGTTAATAATGAATATAGAAGAAATATGTCAGTACATGCAATCAATGAATTACATGTTTATTCTTGAAGATTGCTTAACTTCTTCCAAGTTAATTAGAAAATTAGAGAGAAACAATAAAATTTTTCAGTAAAAGATAGGTCAGAAAATTATTAAATTACCTTTATGTGACCCAGGTATAAACCATAAACAGCCATTGTTGAGAGTTATATCAACTAGAGGAAACCAAATTCCCAATACACTTGGTGGTTCAGTAAAAAGAAAAGTTGAATCTTGATGAGGAGTCACTTAACATCAGAAAACATAAAAATGAAAAATAATAATTAAATAAAATAAATACAAATTACAATTTCAATCACATTTCCATGTAATTATTTACTGTTACTACAATAATAAATAATTTAAAATAAAAATTCATCATAAACTCTATGCAAAAGTAATTTACTATAAATTAAATGTTCCTTTTAATATAACTACAAAATACAAAAATATTTTTGTTGTTGTTATTCAAAGGGTAGCAGAAATTATTACCTTCGCCTCCAATTTCAGGATGCTGAAAAGAAATTTAAACATAAATTTGAAATCTACATTAATATATTAAGACAGAATTTGTAATTAAGAGTACAAAAGACACAGTAAAAATAATAAGAAAGTCTTCACAAACAACTTCTTAAAAGAATATAATATGAAATTTTTCACGACAAAAAGTATTATACTATGCACAGTCAACTCCTGATTAACCAGAGGTGAATTAACAAGAAGCTTTGTTTAAAAAAGGATAAGTTTGTTTAATGCAGAACAATGGAAAAATTACCATCACAAATCTTTAGAATAAAGTAAATCTTCTACAAGAAATGTAAAATGAAGGAGAAGAAAATGTGAGAGATAACAACATTGACAGATGATGATTTAAGAGTATTTCAGAATTTTTATCACAACAGTATATTATTTAATTGCACATAATTTGGATTGACAAAGACATAAAACATCCATTAAAAACAAATTGCTAAATCGCAAAAATGAATTAAGCTTACAGTTACTAAGTCGAAACACTGCAGGAATATAAACAAATAAATTTTTTCTGTTTTGAGGTGTGTTAACCGTTTGAGTCTGGAGAAGCGCTGTCGCGCTTCACTTGTCATATGCCAAAAATATGGCGCAGCGCGGTAGCGCTTCTCTTGTTTTGTATCGAGAATGCGAAGACACTGCTGTTGGTTAGTATACTTTACACAATTATTGAGAGCAGTTGTAGTGATATCAGTAGCAGTTGTTTTTATAGGAATTGGAAATTGTTTTCATTTTTTTATTAAGTGTTATACTGATAGTTACGAAATAACCCATGTCAAGTTCTGATTCATTTGAAAATGACTATATTATGAGAAGTGATAATGAAGACTATAGTAATGACCTTGAAAGTAATAGTGGAAGTGACATCATCATTCGTTCTAAGTGATTACAAATTATTAGTGATAGCAGTGATGATAATGAAGTAACTGCAAGTACCTCCAATGACGATATTATTGAATCGAATACTTTTTCTGAAGTACCTGGGCCCAAAGCACGCCCCTCCTCCTGATGCGAAACCAATTTAATATTTCAATAATTTTTTTTTTCAATTTTCAATAATTTTTTTTTTTTTTTTAAGTATACTAACCAACAGCAGTGGCATTCTCGATACAAAACAAGATAAGCGCTATCGTGCTGCGCCGTATTTTTGGCATACGACAAGACAAGCACGCCCTGGACTCAAACGTTTATGTTAATGTTTCAAATGTTGATTAATTTACATAACCAAATAAACTTATTCTTAATGTACATAACCAAATAGACTAAAGAGGGTTTTTTTTTTGTGTGTGTGTGTGTTTGTTTTTCCAATTATTACTGGATGTATATCTTTCCCTTTCCTTTTCCATTTTAGGAGGGAGGGGGAGTGTTAACTGTAGACATTATCCACAGTATTATTTTGGTTAATTGAGAGTACTGTAATTAATTACCTAAAATCTGCCAATACAACCAATGCTTGGGAAAATTACTCCTTAATTTTGAAATGCTTCTTTTAATATGAATATTTTCAGTTAATAAGAAATGTTCCTCCTTCTTTTTTCAGATGATATTAAGTTACAAATAACTTTGTCATTATTTTCCCCTACTTCATGGTTTTTCTAATTCTCCTTTCATGTAAGCCTTCATTTACATAACACTATTAAAATTAACAAATTTGCTAAACACATGTTAAAAAATAAATAAATAGCAAAATTAAGTATTCTGAACTTTTCAAAAAAAAATTAATACCTTATTACAAGATGGTAATATGTGTAATTAATATAAAGATTCTCAGTATTATGGTAATTTTTATTTGCAAATAATGCATCCAAAGTAAAAGCAATACTTTCTGATATTTCAAAGATTATACACACAGTACAATTAGTCGATAAATAGTTTCTACCTAATATGAACTTACTTCTCTTAGTGAGCATAATTACGAGAAATGCATAATAATTATACACTTTTACTTATTCGAAAAAGGAAATGAATAACATTCAATCCTTTAAAGATCAATATTTTGGCAAATAATTTTCATTAAAAAAATTAATTAAACAAAACTTCATAAAAGCATTTATTTTTTATAGAAGAAATTTTGCAGTCATTTAATTTATAAATGAAAATATGCAATTTAAATCACAAACTAATGCTGCTATTTAGTTGGTCTAAAAAGATTTAAATTGTCAAGAATATTTGCCAACCATTATGCATGAGCTGAATTTTAGCTTTTTACTGCTTACTACATACAAGCTGAATTTTGTATTACTAAGCATAATGTCTCCAACTCTTCAGCCAGACAGTAGCATGGATGTGAGAAAAGAAAGCAGTACCTCAACCAGAGAAGAGTTCATGTTAAATAAATATTTCGAACAAAACTTAGTAAAAATAATATTTGAAATGCCAGCAAACTACTAAGATATTCAGCAAATGTGTTCAGTAGATATCATTTTTTAAAGAAAACTTATATTTAAAATATGAATATCATGCATGCTGAAAGAGTGAAGTATGAAATTATTATTGTACAGTCAAAAGTCTTTAATCTGGACTCGTCAGCGATTTCGGATTATCAGTTTTTCCGGATTATAGATCATCAGTTTAAATCTGGTAAGATGGCATGCAGAAATTATAAAATTAAAAATATGAAACCGTAATTTATGAAATAAAGAGCAATTATGATCTAAAAAGTATCAAAATTTACAAAAACAAAAAACAAAAAAAGCTTAATATTTATTTGTTTACTTTATTAAACATTCCTTTCAATGCGCGCACGCGTAAAGCATACATTACACATAGTCGAAATTACAAAATTGTAACCAGAAAACTATTTGATGTGTATTCGTGATATTTATAATGAAGAGGAATTTGATTTAAATATATCAAAAACGGAGTACATTGAGATGAAATACTACATTTAGTAAGGAAAAACATCTGCTCTGAAGATAAGGATAGTAATGACAGATCAACTTCCAGTTCATTGCGCACGGCAACGTTTGCCCCTCCCCCTGCAGATCAGCGTGAAATTGATAAAAAGATTTCGGAATAGTTAGAGAAACAAAGGATATGCCTTTATCCATTTTTTGCAGCAATTCCACTTTTTGTTTGATGGACATCGAAACATGCTTTCGCTTTGTAGATCCTTTGGCAGCTCCAGAATCGGAAATTCTTTTCGACATCTTGTTAACTTAGAAAGTTCAAGCTTACTTTTATAAAACTGCTCTAACAGTCTGCAAAAAATAATAAGCCGGATCCAATTAGAAGATTAAGGAACAACGCATTCTGCAACATTAACTGAAATAGATAATTACATAATTTTAGCTTAGCTTATACCGTGTGTTATACATTAAACGCGCATGCGTAAATGTATTATGCGTAAAGGTATTAAGCACATGCGTAAACACATTCCACGTTTACGCATGCGCAGAAAGTTTGTAGCTTTGAGGTCCGGATTATAGATCGTTCCGGATTATGGACGTCCGGATTAAAGACATTTGACTGTACTATTTTTCTATGAATGTCATAAACATACTTTAAATATATACATGCTTTGAACTACAACTGGATCTTTATATCCAAACTGCTGCAAGAGTTCCTAAAAATAAAAGATATATTAAGCCACTTAATAATCATTAATTTTATTGTTATGGTTCAATGGGTTCTTTTATTTCATACAGAAAACACATATACATGGACAAAAAATTTTACTTATGAAAAATAATGTAATTCTTTTACAAAAAAGTTTAGTACAGATTTTATCATCATTAGAAAATTCAAACTAAAACATTCAAGAAAGCAAAAATAATACACTAAAAGTAAATTAATACAGTTTATTATTTTTTACAATACATTTTTAGCATAAATCTATTTAACACACAAAAAATAACATATATGCATACATGCAGTATTACTGTACATATATTTAACAGTACATAAAAGAAATAACTCACTTTTACTTTAGAATCAAAAGTAACTTTTTTAAAAGATGAGTTCCACCAGTGTAATGCTAGAGGGGAAAAAGGATTTCATTACACATTTCTCAGAAAATTTCAAGGAAAAAAAATTACACTAAAATTAATATAAATAAATAATAGTCACAAAAACATGCTATTTTAAATAATTTTGGGTGCATTCTTATTATAGAAGCCTCCAAGTCAACTGAGATATAAAGTGACGTGTTACTCACTACATGTTACACCTTGGGTGATTAGGGATTAAATTTTGAGGGCAATAAGGAAATACCTAATTTTGCTATAAATTCAAATAAATCATGATTAAATTAATACATAAAGAAAAAAGTAGGCTGATAAAATTTTAAAGCGAGCAAGGTAGACCCTTAATTTTATATATTACATTACATAAAAGAATGATAAAGAATATCATGATCAGCAACAAATATACAGCAGTGAGGTTATCAATAACAGTTTTCAAATTAAAAGCAAATTCAAGATTTTAAAAATGTCTTGGCTTATACTTACTCTTAAAATACTTACACATTGACTAAGATTGAAATGGTAGCATAAATAACCATTTTTTAAAATACTGGAAAATTTGTGTAAAATCATCGCAAATGCATACAAATGTTAAGAGTTAAAGAATAGTCTCCCATTCTGTGCAGATGCAAGATAAAAATCTGTTGAATAGCTCATTAGATGTTGCTTGCACTTCTATCAAGTAAGATATATCTGAAAATCAAACTTTGGTTAAACTTTACCCATAAAGATCAATCAAGTTATGGAAAATGCCATGAACTCATTTTCTTGAGTAACCTGGCTTGAAAATATACATGAGCACATCTGGAAAGAAATGTGTACAAAGGTGGAAAGGTCCAACAATGCGTATAGAGGAGACTGATACTCATGACGATAAATGCTCCTATATCATCTTTCTCACTCAGGTTTCAAATAGAGAGGCAGACACACTCATGGCATAAATCATCAACCAGATATTAGAAGGATTGATGATTAATTCTATTATTGACCATATAAAACAGAAGAATAGGAAAAAGCAGGTTACAGACATTTTACTGTGAACAATAAATTTCATTTTGTTGATCCAGCAACTCTTACACAAAATATTAAAAGACTGTGATATTCCACTAAGCAAAGAAATAAAAAATCAACAAAGCATGGCATGAGTAGTACTGTGCACAGTTCATGTGGCAAAACTCTTGGGACAAGAAAATGCTTCTGATGCCATATTGAAAACGACTGTGGAAACATGAGTCACAAAATGCATGTGAGAAATTAAAAATGAATTTGGCAATAAAAATGGTTTCAACTTGCTATTTAAAAAATGGGAGATGCAATTACAAAGAAGGACTAAAAGCTGTTTTATGTGTTTCATTTTAATATTTATTTAGAAATATTTGATATTTAGAACTACACAACTTTAAAATACTTCCAACATTCTTTCCCTACCACTAACCTCTTAAGATAAAGGCAGCCAAGTAGTAGGATATATAATAGTTACAAACACCTTACAATATTTAAAAACATACATCCTTCTCTGGGATTCAAATCACATCCAAAGTTCTGATAACATGCATTCCTATCATCCTATCAACAGGAAGGTGTAATACACATAATCAGCATATATTAACACCCTCTGGTCGCAAAGAAAATCTAAAGCAGGTTCCGTTTGATAAGTTCAACTTTACTTTTACTATGATTTCCTTCTTCGGTCATCTCTGCCTCTCTTATATGATATACGGTCAGCGTGTCTTTTTTATTTCCTTATTTGAAGTTTTAACTGGTTCATGGTATTAGCAATACATAAGGTTTATTACATTTGCCTGCACCTGAGACATGATATCACAGAATGATCTAGATTTAGAATCTGGAAGTTTGTCATATTGTTATGCTTTAAGTAGTTATTATGTACAATATCTTTGCAAATAGTGCAAATAAATATGTTCTACATTTCTTTAGTGTTGCTTTATGAAGCTTTTATATTTGTATTACAAGAAATATTGTCTGTTAGAAATCAAAGTAATTTTTATTTTACATATGAAATTATCATTATTTATCTAGAACTTTAATAATTTCAAAATTAAATTCATTTTTGTACACTAATTCATTTCCAATATGATATTCACAATTTTAGTTTAGATTCGTTTATCAGTTTCAAGATGTAAAGAGCTCATCTTCTCAAGAAACATGGATTGAAGACATATAGAAGCATATCTGAAAAGGTCCAGCATTGTATATAGTGGGAGAAGTAAAACACGGGAATGCTTTGCAGATTCCATTATGTTATTTACTAATACATTTATGTTATTAAACAGACAGATACAAAACTGTACATTTGATTTGAGCTTCGATGGCTATAATGTAAAAATAACACGAACAGAAACGCACACGTGAAGCATTACAACTTAGAATTTTTTTTTAACTTAAAATCTACATTTGATGCGATAAAATTATCCAAAACTTGAATTGATAACAGAAAAAACACTAGAACAAAAATTATATGGCGTGGTGTATTTAATTATGGTAAAGCACACTAGGGCTATCTGCCTAAGGGGAGGGATGCCTTCGTGGAGGACTTTCTAAGGGAAACTGGCTCGTATACACATTACACATGGGGAAAACCACGAAAACACCCATGCAGCCAGCCCGTTCGCGGGATTCAAACCTCGGACCGAACTACCAGTGTTCAACGACTTTACTGCTCGTGGGCCCAAAAATTATTATTTTTTTTTTTTTATAATTAACAGTGTTATGATGAACTACATCATATATTCATTTTTCTTTCCAGCATTACTAACAGCTACAGGTTTTGGTTCTTTGGTACTATCGCAACCACCATAGCGTATCTGGTGATTTTTTGAAGAAAAAGAATGGTGATTTCAAATTGAAGAAAGTTATTCATTCCATATCATACATGTTATTAAGTATATATTTTAATTTTAGTTCAATATTTATCATGGAAAACAATTTATAAAACTACTTATAAACAGTATTTCTCACATGTAATTATTCCAATCTACCACAGTCTTATCAGCCATTTCTAACTCTTCCAAGCAAAATTTAACATTAATTCTTTACTCCAGCAGTATATAAATCTGACTGCTGTAATAAGTGGGAGATGACTATTCTCACACCAATTACTGCTTCAAATGCTGACATGTTGATTACCTTTTTCATTTTTCATTTCCAAAAAGGTTGTTTTCGCAAATACAATATCATCAAATACATATTTGAACATTCCTGCCTTGGTGGAAAAATATTATAATCCTGCAAAAATTTCACAGAACTTTCTTCATTTGCAGGCAAATCCCACAAACACATATTTTAAAATTCAGCTGAAGACCAAAATTACTGCAAATTACCTTTAGTGCTTCTAATACAACCAAAAGAGCATGCACAAAAATGGCAGCATTTCTCATTCAAACTTACAGTTATCAATATGGTTACCTAAAGAATTGTTTTGTACATCGTTGCCACAGTTTGGTGATTCCTGAAATTTTACATAGGTGTTTGTGGTGATATCAAAGTTCTCCTTTTCATATTGAATGAATATATTTCGTTTATTAGCACTGATATTTTAAAATATGAAATCATACCAAGCATCTGTATATTGTTTTAGAGTACGATATTAAAAAACATACATTCTGAACATATTAATGCTGGTAATAATAAACCTAGTAATAATAAACCTGGTAATAATAAACCTAGTAATAAATAAAAGTTTATAATAAAATAGCTTGTATTTAAAATTGTAGGCATAAATCTATTTCAAAATCTTAAACATTCTACTAGGACAGATTTTACAAATGTATTAAGTTTTTTCAAACTTACCATGTCCAATTTTATTTAGAGCTTTTGTTTTATCCACAATTAAATTTCCTGTGCATAATAATAATATAATACTCATTAAATTAGGTGAATACAATTTGCAAAAAATGTTCAAATAACATGAATACTTTAAATAAAACACAAGAAAATAAAGACACATCTCACCTTTTTCATCAACTGCATCTTTTTCAAAAAAATATGAGATTTTATCACCAGAATTGATGAAATATTCATCTCGACCCTATTTAATTATCATTGATATTTCAAAACCTTTCAAAAAAGAAATATAAATGGCACATTTCTCATTATAAAAAGCAATACATAAACTGCTTAATTGCTTTCGCTTACTAGAATACTACAATAATTTCCCTTATATAATAGTTTAATAATAGTTAAAGAAATATTAGAACCTTCATGTTAGCAAATTAAAAGAATTAGAAAACATTTTTAATCTTTAAAAATATTATTAATCAAAATTTTACTTTGATCACGAAACAATAAAAACTTAATAATATAAAATAATTTTCACTTTTTATAATATATGCATGTTTTTAAAAAGTAAGAGTTTAATATGAATATTTTCCCTACAGCAGTGGTCTCAAACTGGCAGCCTATGGGTTGCATGTTGTCCTGAAGCAAATTTATATAGCCCACAAGTACATTTCAATAATATATTTATTGCAAATACAGTATTACAAAGATTTTAAGAGTTTAGTTATTTGAAGTCTGTATTTACATTATTTTTATTAGCATTAAAAATGAATATGAATAATGGACCAAAAATCTATAAATGGAGCTAATTATGTGATAAAAAGTTGTAAATAAAGATTTATTAACTTTTATTCATACTTGTCAAAAAATAAGTAAACTGGGTTACAAATTTTTGCTCTAAGAATAATCACATTTTTAAGAATACATTTCTATACAAAAAGATTTTTTTATATTTGTAAATTAATTAAAGAATCTGAATGACTGATGAACATCTACAATCAATGATAATGATAATTTCTAGTAATTTCTATTCAAGAGAAAAAAAACTTGATGAGAATCGAAATGCCATCAAGGGTAAGATATAAAGTAAGAAATAAAGGTACTATTCCATTTTGAGGACCGTAAAAAAATTTCAGCGAAAATGTATGCGTAAAAGCGCTAAATCTAGCAAATGTGCCCATTTAACAGTGCACCAAATCTAGCATATGCGCTGATTTCAAATTGCGTAAGTTTAGATAGTTCTAAATTTTTAAAATGCTTTTGAAATACTAATTTAATTTTTAAATCCTTTTTCGATATCTTATGGATTTAACAATTTGGGAATTGCCCATGACGAAACATCTGCAATAGAATTTTTTCAAAGAAAAGGCATCATTCATTGTAGAAAAATAATGTTTGAACAACCAACGAGATGAAATTATGCTTTAGCGATAACTCGGTAGTGAAATAGCGATGCAGGAATCCATTCAGTCATGTTTAGCCTTTTTTTATAAATTTATAATAATAAAGTATTATATGAAATTAAACTTTAATCGGTACTTTTCCGTTTCGCCGGCGCAAATCTCGCCAAGCAGACTTTATTGGTGACAACACAAAATATATGACATAAAAAATATTAAAAAAATGTTAGTTCTAATTTTTTATTTTCTATTTTTGAAGGCATAAACTATTTAATATCGCTTAAAATTTATAAAAAAGCCAATAAATAAAGACCAATAAATTTGTAAAAAGAACATTAATTTAAGAATTTACTATGCTTTCATGGTTCACAACATCCTGATTCGCCGGTTCATATCACGTAATCCCAAGTGCAATCTCATCTCACATAAACTACTCTACAAAAATATAATGCTCTGACAGTAATTATCTACATTAATTTCAAGTTAAATCTTAATTTGGAACACAAGTTTAAATGCAAGAAATATTTCAATTCGTACGAATAGCTTACTCAGAAATTATGTAAAACTGCAGTGCTTTACTTCGCTAATGCCATTCTCATTAGAATTGATGAATTTAACCCTTGACTTTACCTTTTCTATATTTTCGGCTTCGGGAAGCGCTGTGATTGCATCCTAATTGATTTAATTGCCGAAAATGGCCTTAGACATAAAACTGAACTATCTGAATGAGGCGTAAAAGGTTACCAGCGAGAATATTCCGTTTGGCATCGGTTGTACCATTATTGGCGACTTTATCGCTTGCGCCGGCAAAACGGAAAAGTACCCTTTAATCTAAATTAAAACTGTAATCTTTAGACAGTTATTTACTATTATACTTCCTTTCTTGTGTTAGGGTTGCCGCAATTATTTTTGGCAGCACTGGCATCAACAATAATTTGGCGATTTTTTACAGTGCTCAAAACGAAATAGTACCGAAATAAAGTATACTGTATTAAGAAATAAAGAAGTTTTTAATGATTTACATACAAACACATACATTTTTATTTGTGTATTAAAAAAATTTAATAAATATGAGAAAGAGACTGGATTGCTATTATTCAGTCTTATCCCACTTTTTAGTCAGTTCTATCCCATTTTTCTCTTTTTTGAAAAAAAGAAAATAGTCATAATTTGTTTATTTTTAAATTTAAAAAATATATTTGGTGCTTAATTAAACATATTAGAATCATTTGAAATAAATGTTAGACTTGTATATTAATATTTAGACTTGAATATGTTATTTAACTGTCAATATACTTGCATTACAAAGTATAAGCACCAAAAATTTCTTGTACCAAATATTCGATTTCAGAAGAAAATAAATATAAATTTGAATTTTTTTTTCTTTGGATACTATTATTATTGCTTAGACATGTTTTGATAAATATTTAAAAAGAGAAATTAAAATTTTTAAGAACATTTTTCAGTTTCTTAATAACAATTTTTCATTTTGTTCAAAAAAAAAGTATATTAAACAAATTTTCTGGCCCATTAGCTGTTTTTAGGTTGAGCATTCAGCCAATATGCAATATAAGTCTGAGACATTCAAATTGCATGAAAAAATATGGTTATGATAAAAGAATTTTTTTTTTCCAATGGCAGATTATGAACAATTAAAATGTAACCTAGTCCATTAATCTATACAAGGTCGGATGTGGTGGTCTCTTTATTATGGAGGCACCTAATAGGAGTGCCACCATCGCCTTTCCTATGAAGGGACGTACAGTTACAACCATGCCTTCTCCGGGATTCGAACCCAGGCCCTTCGGCATCACAGTCAGCTTCCCTGACCACTATACCGACTGGGCGCCATATGATAAAAGATTAAAAACTGAATAAAACAAAATTTCAATAAACATTTCCTATCTTTGATCAACACATAAAAAATTTTTTTACAATTAATTTTCATCTGAAGAACTACATAAAAGTGTATGTGCCTTCACTTATGAAATGTAAAAAATTTTCAGATTTAAATAACTTATAAAAATATTACTTGATCCTTTCCAGTGTGAAACACCGAACAATGTTCAGGAGGATTCATGTCTCCGAGTATAATTGAGCATGACTGAAGAAGACTTTCAACTTCAGATGAAGTTAAAAAATTTTTAATCACTGCGAATCCTTTAGCTTCATACTGAAAAACAAGAAATAAATTAGCAAAACTGCTAATTCGAATTACTTCTAATAAAATGCACACTATAATTACACTCAGTAAAAGAATAAATTACAGTACTTAGCTAGCTCATAAGCCACTGACAACATACGAAATTTGTTAATTTTCATAACTAAGAACATTTGCATTATCATAGAAGTATTTAAATTTCATATTCTACTACAAAATAAATCATGATTAATTTTAGTAACATAGTAAAGAATTTTACGTAGCTTTATTTATAAAAATAATTCATTCTTCTAAACTTTTTTTAAATATGGTACACTGCAATATTGCCACTTCTTTATTTAGGTGACCACCCCGCTTTGTTGCCAAAACTGGCAAACATAATCTACTAATTTGTAGCGGGCTAATTTTAAATACTGGCAATGGTTTATGTGGTGGTTTTTAATCTCCTTTTTTTTAACTGCAAGTTTCTAATTACAATAATAATAAACTTCAGCTAGGAGTTTTTTGGGTACTATTCCATTTTGAGGACCGTAAAAAAATTGCAGCAAAAATGTATGTGCAAAAGCACCAAATCTAGCAAACGCGCCCATTTAAACAGTGCGCCAAATCTAGCAAACGCGCTGATTTCAGATTGCGCAAGTTTATATAGTTCTATATTTCTTAAGACGACACTGAAATACTGGTTTAATTATTAAATCCTTTTTTGATATCCTATGGATTTAACAATTTGTGAATTGCCCATGATGAAAAGTCTGCAATAGAATTTTGGGTACTTTTCCGTTTCGCCGGCGCAAATCTCGCCAAGCAGAATTTATTGGCGACAACATACAGTATACACATAAAAAATATTTAAAAAATGTTAGTTCTAAGAATTCTTTTTTTGAAGGCATAAACATTTTAATATCGCTTAAAATTTTATAAAAAGCCAATAAATAAAGACAATAAATTTCTAAAAAGACATCAATTTAAGAATTTACTATGCTTTCATGGTTCAACATTCCTGATTTGCGCCCGTTCATATCACGTGACCACCCCAAGCGATCTCATCTCACGTAAACTACTCTACAAAAATCTAATGCTCTCAGCAATTATCTACATTAATTTCAAGTTAAATCTAAATTTGGAAATCAAGTTTAAATGCAAGAAATATTTCAATTCGTACGAATAGCTTACTCAGAAATTATGTAAAACTGCAGTGCTTTACTTCGCTAATGCATTCTCATTAGAATTGATGAATTTAACCCTTGACTTTACCTTTTCTATATTTTCGGCTTTGGGTAAGCACTGTGATTGCATCCTAATTGACTTAATTACCGAAAATGGCCTTAGACATAAAACTGAACTATCTGATAAAAATTCTATGTAATTATATGCCAGTATTGAAAGAAACAATCAATCTGATAAGAAAAAGCTGCGACTTGTTTTCAAAATGAGGCGTAAAAGGTTACCAGCGAAAATATTCCGTTTGGCATCGGTTGTATCATTATTGGCGACTTTATCGCTTGCGCCGCATTAGAATTGATGAATTTAACCCTTGACTTTACCTTTTCTATATTTTCGGCTTTGGGTAAGCGCTGTGATTGCATCCTAATTGACTTAATTACCGAAAATGGCCTTAGACATAAAACTGAACTATCTGATAAAAATCCTATGTAATTATATGCCAGTATTGAAAGAAACAATCAATCTGATAAAAAAAAGCTGCGACTTGTTTTCAAAATGAGGCGTAAAAGGTTACCAGCGAAAATATTCCGTTTGGCATCGGTTGTATCATTATTGGCGACTTTATCGCTTGCGCCGGCAAAACGGAAAAGTACCGAATTTTGAGTAAAGTGCACAATCACCCACTGCTTGACGCGTTATTAAGAATTGCACATACTCGGTATCCATGTACACATTGACCTATTTTCACTTAAAAAAAAAAAAAATCACAGAATTGCACAAAAATGCCACTGCACACACCCTTGACTTTATCTATGTACACATCAACCTATTTTCACTTAAAAAGTAAAAGAAAATTGACAAAAATCCAATTGTAAAAAGTGGCAAACAAATAAGCGGATGATTCTGCCCTTTACCGAGAATTTTTTCAAAGAAAAGGCATCATTCATTATAGAAAATTATGTTTGAACAACCAACGAGATGAAATTATGCTTTAGCAATAACTCGGTAGCGAAATAGTGATGCAGGCATCCATTCGGTTATGTTTAGCAATTTTTACATAAATTATAATGATCATCTGAAATAGTTATTTACTCTTATGCTTCCACTCAGTCATGTTCAGCATTTTTTATATAAATTATAATAATAAAAATGCATTACATGAAATTAACCTTTCATCTAAATTAAAACATCAATCTTAGATAGTTATTTACTATTATACTTCCTTTCTTGCATTAGGGTTACCGCAATTATTTTTGGCAGCACTGGCATCAACAATAGTTTGGCGTTTTTTTACCGTCCTCAAAACCGAATAGTACCTTTTTTTAATATTTAACAATTTCAAAAAAAAATTGGGTACTTTTCCGTTTCGTTGGCGCAAATCTCGCCAAGTAGACTTTATTGGTGACAACACACAAAATAATGACATAAAAAATATTAAAAAAATGTTAGTTCTAAGAATTCTTTTTTGAAGGCATAAACATTTTAATATCGCTTAAAATTTTATAAAAAGCCAATAAATAAAGACAATAAATTTGTAAAAAGACATTAATTTAAGAATTTACTATGCTTTCATGGTTCAAACATCCTGATTCGCCGGTTCATATCACGTGATCCCAAGCAATCTCATCTCACATAAACTACTCTACAAAATATAATGCTCTCAGTAATTATCTATCTACATTAATTTCAAGTTAAATCTTAATTTGGAACACAAGTTTAAATGCAAGAAATACTTCAATTCGTACGAATAGCTTACTCAGAAATTATGTAAAACTGCAGTGCTTTACTTCGCTAATGCATTCTCATTAGAATTGATGAATTTAACCCTTGACTTTACCTTTTCTATATTTTCGGCTTCGGGTAAGCACTGTGATTGCATCCTAATTGATTTAATTGCCGAAAATGGCCTTAGACATAAAACTGAACTATCTGATAAAAATTCTATGTAATTATATGCCAGTATTGAAAGAAACAATCAATCTGATAAGAAAAAGCTGCGACTTGTTTTCAAAATGAGGCGTAAAGGTTACCAGCGAAAATATTCCGTTTGGCATCGGTTGTATCATTATTGGCGACTTTATCGCTTGCGCCGCATTAGAATTGATGAATTTAACCCTTGACTTACCTTTCTATATTTTCGGCTTCGGGTAAGCGCTGTGATTGCATCCTAATTGACTTAATTACCGAAAATGGCCTTAGACATAAAACTGAACTATCTGATAAAAATTCTATGTAATTATATGCCAGTATTGAAAGAAACAATCAATCTGATAAAAAAAAAGCTGCGACTTGTTTTCAAAATGAGGCGTAAAAGGTTACCAGCGAAAATATTCCGTTTGGCATCGGTTGTATCATTATTGGCGACTTTATCGCTTGCGCCGGCAAAACGGAAAAGTACCGAATTTTGAGTAAAGTGCACAATCACCCACTGCTTGACGCGTTATTAAGAATTGCACATACTCGGTATCCACGTACACATTGACCTATTTTCACTTAAAAAAAAAAAAAAAATCACAGAATTGCACAAAAATGCCACTGCACACACCCTTGACTTTATTTATGTACCACATCAACCTATTTTCACTTAAAAAGTAAAGAAAATTGACAAAAATCCAATTGTAAAAAGTGGCAAACAAAAAGCGGATGATTCTGCCCTTTACCGAGAATTTTTTTCAAAGAAAAGACATCATTCATTAGAAAATTATGTTTGAACAACCAACGAGATGAAATTATGCTTTAGCAATAACTCGGTAGCGAAATAGTGATGCAGGCATCATTCGGTTATGTTTAGCAATTTTTACATAAATTATAATGATCATCTGAAATAGTTATTTACTCTTATGCTTCCACTCAGTCATGTTTTAGCATTTTTTATATAAATTATAATAATAAATGCATTACATGAAATTAACCTTTTCATCTAAATTAAAACTCAATCTTAGATAGTTATTTACTATTATAACTTCCTTTCTTGCATTAGGGTTACCGCAATTATTTTTGGCAGCACTGGCATCACAATAGTTTGGCGTTTTTTTACCGTCCTCAAAAACCGAATAGTAACCTTTTTTTAATATTTAACAATTCAAAAAAAAAATTGGTACTTTTCCGTTTCGTTGGCGCAAATCTCGCCAAGTAGACTTTATTGGTGACAACACACAAAATAATGACATAAAAAATATTAAAAAAATGTTAGTTCTAAGAATTCTTTTTGAAGGCATAAACATTTTAATATCGCTTAAATTTTATAAAAAGCCAATAAATAAGACAATAAATTTGTAAAAAGACATAATTTAAGAATTTACTATGCTTTCATGGGTTCAACATCCTGATTCGCCGGTTCATATCACGTGATCCCAAGCATCTCATCTCACATAAACTACTCTACAAAAATATAATGCTCTCAGTAATTATCTACATTAATTTCAAGTTAAATCTTAATTTGGAAATCAAGTTTAAATGCAAGAAATATTTCAATTCGTACGAATAGCTTACTCAGAAATTATGTAAAACTGCAGTGCTTTACTTTTCGCTAATGCATTCTCATTAGAATTGATGAATTTTAACCCTTGACTTTAACCTTTTCTATATTTTCGGCTTCGGGTAAGCACTGTGTGTGCATCCTAATTGACTTAATGCCGAAAATGCCTTAGACATAAAACTGAACTATTGATAAAAAATATATGTAATTATATGCCAGTATTGAAAGAAAACAATCAATCTGATAAAAAAAAGCTGCGACTTGTTTTCAAAATGAGGCGTAAAAGGTTACCAGCGAAAAATTCCGTTTGGCATCGGGTTGTATCATTATTGGCGACTTTATCGCTTGCGCCGCATTAGAATTGATGAAT